CCCCCCCCCCCCCCCCCCCAAGATGACAAAACATCCAGGAAGCTGATTAAGCAACTTTCTGTCAAAACGACAAAGTGGTTCACTGTGAGGTCGTTACCATTCCAGGCACTGACTCATCAGCCCCAATTAAAAAATAAAATCAAGACAACGTCTCTCTGATTGCTCAATTAAATGAAGAGACTCCACAGTCTCACGATCACCATGTAGGCTGCTTCTCAGTTCCATTCCCCTCCTGGAAATGAAGTTCTGAAGGGCAGTTTGATGTAGGGTGGATACTTTTCTGGGACCTTTTTTTCTCGGCTTTGCGGTCCAGTTAAGCTCAGAATATTTTGCGAGTAGATCATCTTCATTTCCTGAAGGTTGCCCTGTCAGACTCTTTCCCTCGTCTGACCCAAGATAAAGGGATGAGTAGCCAGCTGTTGGCCTACTTCCTGTCCCACCCCCAACTTCAGCATACACAGTGTGGCTTGCTACTCTTCCAGACAGCTGAGGACCGACCTGTGATCGTGATCCTAATGGCTGCCTTGTGCGCTCCTTCCTTCCTTCCCATCAGCCTTTTCATGCAACCGGAGCTCTCACTGTTCTTTCTATATTTGAGACCAATCTTGGAATGTTGACGTGGGGAACCCCCTGCTATCTTTTATTAGAATTTGATGGTTCTGCCATACATGATGCCCTCTGAGAGGTGCTTCTGTGATTGTCCTCATGCTTATTGAAGCTGAAAAGAAACTGTCCGCGAGTGGCTAGCCATGACCCGGTCATGTACATCTTCAAGTTTGGGTTGCCGGTGCGTCTCTCGGGCTGCTTCTGGAAGGTCCTTCATTGCACCCTGCCGCCATGTGGCTGCGGATGGGTATTGCAGTGTGTTTATTCCTCAGTGCGGCGTCTGCTCATCTGAGTATATATTTGGTAAAGTACTGATGGGTGTTTATATGACGATCAAAACCGTTGATTAATAAAAGACCACAACTGCTGGTCTCGAATGACAACACAGTTAAGTTTCCTGTCCGATTTCAATTCCACAGCATATCCAAAGGTATTTTAAATACCTGTGCCTTGAGTTAAACCATCAAATTCAATGCCTTAACCTATTTGGGCTACATTAGGGTCATCTGCGCTTAGCGTTAATACTCGATCGCTCCAGACTTATCTGGTTAATATGAAGCATTAGACGCCATAAAAGCTTCACTGTTGCTTGCAGAGGTCACATGAGCTGGCCGCCTCGCCCAAATGTGCAAAGTGCTTTTTAGCCACGGGGGTGAATTCGCATTAGAGCCACTGTGCTGGCGGCAGCGAAGCCCGACCTCTGTGCACGCGCACGTGTGATTACTCCTGTCGCTGTCGTTATCGGGGGAGCAGCAGCCAAACCGCACTGGTTATGGTGTCTCATCGACATTATCGATATCATAAATAACGTGATGAGCGTCCTGGCACAGGCTGCGCTTTCATTAAAACGCTCATTAAAAAATGCCGTGCACTTAAAATTCTTAATAAAACCCAGCTGATATCTTTAAACAGAGTAATCTGTAATTAGATGTTGCAATTAAAATGATTAACGTTCATTTGGCCGGTCGCAGTGTGAGCTTCGCCATACCAGTGCCAAATGCATAAATGGAGCCAGCGCACACTGAGTCGTCTCTTTGAGCCCTGTGGGATTCTGGGACTGAATATAGTTGTGCCTGAACCCATTTTTTTATTTCAGAAGCTGTTGTTTGAGACCTCCAGGGTTGAATGTTTAAGTCTTTCCTTGTGTGTGTTCTTGTTATCTGCCTTTTTTTTTTTTTTTTATGGGGTTCCACTGGGTTTTGTGTCCTGCATTTCCCGGGTTTGCAGTGAGGCTGCCTGGCGAGGTTTTCAGAAGAGGGCGCGTGTATGAATGGTGTGACAAAGGCGTAGAAAACCTTGCATAATTAGGCGGCTTCTTGTCAGACTATCCACAGCACCTGCAGTATGCATCAGGTCGTTAGAAGTTCTGCTTCTCGTCCTTTTGTCTCAGTAGGTCTGGGCTGATTTTAGAATGTATTTAAATGTTCTTTAGTGTAATTTTTTTTTTTTCTCTTCCTGCTGTCGAGATGGAAGCCTCTGTATCTTTTGCCATATTCTCAGCAGGCAAAGCATTTGGGTCAAACGTTTCTTCCTCCCCCCTCCCTGCTGTTAAGTCACACCTTTCATTTGGGAGTGACACAGAGTAGCTGCCGCTTTACAGCATGGGCCGAGGTGCCGGCCGGTTCGGAGTGACTCAGAAAGCTGTACGATTCGCTCGCTCCTCCGTGAACAAGCCTGTCACGAGAGCCGGGAGGCAGGCATTTAGCCGAAGGCTGTTGATTTGTTTTTGGAGAGGGCACTCGGAGCTTTAAAGAGGCACTCCACCACAAAATCATTCCACAGTGTGTTATTTCTTCCCTTTTAACATGGGGGGAGAAAAAATATTTCTAAAACAGTTGTGTGCCGTGGCAGCCGGGGATGTGCGTGCGGACGATGGGAATACGGGGAGAAGTGTGCGAGAGGGATGAGTGGAAGGGGTATGCTGGGAAGGTGCTTCTGCTTTGGGTACCTTCCATTTAAACCTAAGTTTGGTGTCAGTATACTAAGCATACGCTTCCATTTCACATTTTAAATAACCTCCTGTTGATAGATGTTTATCCCCTGAACAATTATATAAGATATAGAAAAACCACCCCCTGGAAATTCTAAGCTTAAAAAACTCTATTATTATAAACTGTAATTATCAAAAACACTCATCAGCATTTATTGCACACAGTTAAATGGCACGCCCGCCTGACAGGCACACGTTTACGCTCGAGTTTGGATTTTTATGTTTAATCCATGGATGGGCCGTAAAGCTTAGTGCCCGTTCCTACGGCCGGAACCCGAGGTCCGCTTTCCTGCTGCCAGAGGTTTATCGCAGGGCCGTGCAGCGAAATATGACCAGAAAGCGCTCCCCATGACCTCGGCTTTGATTGGTTCCATCATCCTCCCCTGGAATATTCCTCCTCTGCACAAAGCCGCTTTGAAAAACAGCAGCAGCATCTTGGATCGGGTGTGGATCCATTAGTGCTCCCTGTCCTCATCCTGGTGCCGATCCCTCATTGGTGAAGGGTGCCTCCCAGATAAGCAGATGAGGGGCAAATACAGGCACTAAACGAAGTGAAAATATTATGTCAGATTAGCGTGTATTAAGGGGAGCCTGAAGGCTGCATTAGTGTAATCCCTCTGTTTCACCGCTGGCCCAGTAATGTGGCCTAGGGCATGCAGCTGCTGCATGGGACCCTTTAGGCCTGAAATGCCCCCCAGGCGGTAGGGGGATGGGTTCAGTGGCACACACGGCAGCTGGAGGTGCTATGGGGCAGAGGTGGAAAGTTCAGGTCCTCAAAGTACAAATCCAGACCAAGGTTTTGTTTCAACCAACCAGTTGTGTATAAAGAGTCACAGTCACAGAGTACTCAACTGGTTTGTTGAAACAAAACCTTGGTCTGGATTTGTACTTTGAGGACCTGAACTTTCCACCTATGCTATGCGGACACATCTGTGCACAGTAGCAGTCTCCTCTGCCCATTTGGATGTCTGGGACTGATTTTAAGCGTATTACCAAACGCTGCACTCTGTCATTCCCAAACCATGTAAGTATCAGTTTGTTAAATGCTATTTGAGAGCGATTCTGCGTCTAATCGAAAGCAGAGCTCAGATTCTGTCTGAAGCAACGTTTCGGGAATAACTCCAACTTTGTCCTGAGACTTGAGTAATGTTTAGAAATCGCGTCTGAGTCTCTGCAGCTTAACTACAGACTGTACATCTGAGCTCCGTCTCGCGTAGACGGCAGACTAGACCTGATGATCCGCTAGTCTGGTTAAGCTCACGTCGCTTCAAATAGCCACAAGTTTCCTGCCCTCTGGAAAATGATCCAGTAACAATGTGGGAAAGATGAGTGAAAGCTTTGTAGGCTGAACTCCATCTTAATCCTCTGCTGTCTGGCATGTATACATACACAAGTGTGGTGTGGTGTACAGTACCTTTCAAAAGTCTGGACGCACCTGCTTTCAATGCATTCTCCTGTATTTTGCTGTTATTCAATTTGTAGTAAAAAGCCTTGACACAATGAAGTAATATAAATCCAATATTGCAATGACTAAGAGGAGTGTTTGACATCTCAATATTTTAACATCTGCTTAGATTCTTCAAAACAGCCCCCTTTAGATTTGATGAGAGCGCTGCAGACTCTTGGCATTCTCTGAGCCAGCTTCCAGATGTAGCCACCTGGAATGCTTCTCCAACAGTCCTGAAGGAGTTTCCACAAGTTCTGGGCACTAGTTGGTTACCTTACTCTTACTCTCTGATCCAACTCATCCCAAACCAGCTCTATAGGGTTTAGGTTGGGGACGGATTGTGTGGGCCAGGTCATCTGTCACAACACTCCATGAACCTGAGGTGTGCTTAGGGTCAATATTTTGTTGAAAATTAAATTATTTTCTGGAGGTGTGCCCAGACTTTTGACTGGTTCTGTGTGTACACACAGTGGACAGGGACATGCACCACTTCTGTCGGTTAACAGCCTTTTTGTGGTCTTGACCTGAGTGACAACAACTTAAAAGCTTCTTGAGTACTGAACATTAATTTGCTTCATGGATGTGTGTGTATTTTTAAACCGTCATTTCTGTCTTTATTTGAATACTGAATGTATTGTGCCTCATTTCAACTAAGATGTTAAGGAGATCAGGTAGTGGTGCTAAAACCAGTTACAAATATTTCATAATCCTCTCACAAAATCCTTGTTCTGAGGACATAAGTATCCCAGCGTCTTGAAATTCTGTTTGTTTACACCGGCACCATCCCCTCACCTACATAATTCAATATTAAACTTTTTTCCCCCAGGGTCAACGAGATTAAGATGGTGATGGCCGACCTTGAGCGAGCCAATCAGGTGAGCCCCCATCACATTGTTCGAGTCGCTCTGCTATGCTTCATTAATGAGAGCCTTCTACAGGGTTCTCTCAAACAGTGAGTGTCACTTGTGTCCTCAGGAGCTCAAGACCAGTCTCTTTGAGGCTCTCAGATGCCTGATTCCTCAGACAGGCAGAGCGAATGATATGATTGGAGCAAAGGATTCTGGGTAGACGTTATCTGCTACCTGGAAGCGCGGTTCACTTCTGAATCCGCCCGCATTCAGCTCCAGGGCGATAAATGGGCAGTGACTGGTGATGCACTGCAGAATACCCCTTTTCTGAAATACCCAAGCAAACAGAGCAGCCGTTCTGCTTTGGTGTGTACGGGGTAGCAGGCTTGTTTTGGTCGTCAGTCCACGTGCATCTCCAGAGACACATCAGCGCTCCTGCTGTGACATTCCTCATTGTGTTTCTGTCTGCCCATTCTTCACTCGTTTGTATGACCCACATACTTCCACCAGGTTGATCACTCCTCGGGGACTGTTCTGTACCTAGGGCTCGCATTTACACTCAGGACAAGGGTTACTTATATGCTAAAAGTGAATAAACAATATTGTTATTGTTTTTTTTAAGCCAAGAACAAGAATGAGTTTACACTACATTCACAGGTGTCAGCTACTAATTTGTTCAAAACACACAAAACTGAATGTATGCTCTTAAATAACTTAGGACGTAATTGTCGCAAGATGACTTTAAAGCTGCATTTTTAACGGCTTAATCCGAACTAATTAATTAAAATCTTAGTTGGAACAAAGCCCGGCATGCGCACACAGCCCCAGGACCTGGATTAAGAATCTCACAACGTCCCAGCAGCCACAGAAAACTTCTCTGTTCAAATTTGAAGGAATGTGTGGAAAAGGACATTAATTAAATTGTAATTTGAGCACCTTTACACACTCCCATCTCCCCAAATTAGTTTGCAGAAGCAGCCTTTCTGCCCGGTTTGGCGTGTGAGTCGCGGTGGTGGGGCTGGCGGCCTGACCGCTGTTTCTCCCTGTTGCTGCTACCTGGAGATGCAGCTGCTCTGCACGTGTCCTGCTTTTGGAGAACGACAAGGCCGCAGCACCTTCTGGAAATCTGCTGTCTGAACAGTCTGAACTTTCCCTCCCCACTCTCTCTTCCCACAGTTGAAAGTTCTGGAAATGCTGAAAATAGCGATTACTTTAGGAGAGCAATTAAGTTAGCCCTAATAATTTAAATAATATAAACTGGGTTTTGTATAAAATGTATAAAATAAGATTAATTTGGTGTTGTGTAGCATCTGCAAATGTTACATTTCCATAATTCCATAAAGATGACAGCTTTAGCTCCCAAACATCTAAAGGTTGAATACTTAATTGTTTTTAAAGTATAATTAATAATTTAGGTGCTTACAGTATGCATTTTTCCACCCACGGTTTGTTTTTGCTCTTCACATAAATTAAAAAAATTTGCATTGTTACTCTACCAGCACCCGTCTCTGGCTAATTATCTGTTAGAGCTGGTGTGTTTAATCAATATGGTTTTGAACCCTCTGGTCTTGCAACAGTGCTCAGTAAAACTTCACTGATGTGCAGTCACTCGTACTTGGCAGTTTTCTTCATAGCAGATAGTGAAAAAACAGGTTGTTCAAAAAAGAACAGATGTGACTGAAGGGGAAGAGCAAGTGCACTAAATACTGAAACTTATTTCCCAGGAAGGAATCTGAAGAAATCAGAAAGTAATCAAAAATAAGCAGGGTGTCTGGCAGCCCCCAGTGAGATGGGCCGGCTGAAATTGAGCGGTAAATAACACCCCATGTAATACGTGCTAATAGGCCTGTGTTAATGTAATGGCCACCGGCCCAGTCCTGTAGCTCAAACAGTGTTCTCTGGTATCCTCAGATCGTTACCCAGAATTCCACAGGAATAGAACAGCCGAATCGGGTCTTGGTTGGCTGCTATATAAACTTTAGCAGCTGACTTGTTGCCAGGGTAACCTAACCCCTATTGATGGCGTCTACTTAGTGTGACCTTTACCATAAATGTTTTAATCACTATTATATAAATAAATATGAGGGGGGTCCTCATTTTAGCTGCTTCTGAATTGTCATGTAAACCTGAGAAACTCAGGGGAGCAGCTACCTTTTTCATACATACGTTCTTGAAAACTTTACAGTATTTTTACATAATGTTTTCTGGTTAATGCTGATGTGCTTTTACTGTCTACACTGAGACATGCTGATGCCAGATAGAGGTCAGAGTTGTTTTTGTTTTGGATTTTTTTGGTCATTTGCATGTACAAAAGGCTCTGATTGGCAGATGGTGTGGAGCTGCATACGCAGGTGAGGAGTCTTATCGAGACCCCCGTCGCGGCGTCGGGGGGTGACGCCTTCATTCGTAAGATCTGTGGGTTGCAGAACAATAACTTAAGCTGCTGGCACTGTCGTGGTGCCTCCCTATCAGATATGGCCTGGCTGATTCCCATCAGGAATGCTTTTGACCTGTGAACCTCAACTGTGTTGGGGGGGGGGGCATGCCTAAATCTCTGGTTACCCACGCCGAGGGCGCGGCCCCTACCTGCTACCCTGCTGCCCACACCTATAGGCCCCATGGTGCCGCATCAGGTGACCTTCACTGTTGCCAGGGAAACGTAACCTGGCTTTACATCCTGCTCCTTTTGCAGCGATCTGAGGTGGCGGAGAGGGAGGCGGAGACGTTACGGGAGCAGCTCACGTCAGCCAACAAGTCCCTACAGCTGGCCACGCAGATCCAGAAGGCTCCTGACATGGTAGGCCGCTGCCCCGCGCCGTCAGCCTCACCGACGGCACAGCACAAGTTAAGCCTTTCGGAAATCTGCAGGCCTGCTTTTGGACGACCTTTATAGCAGAGTCTCAAAGAAAATAAGCCCTTTTTGGCAGATGGGGCTTGGGTGACATGTTGTTTGTGACCTGTGGAGGCCGGGTTTGTTTGCTTTCTTTCATTAAAGGCGCCAGTGGTCGTCCTGATCCATTTTGTCAAAAGATGGGGTGTCCCAGCACTTACCTGATTAATTAAGGTCCCGGCTTGCATAGATAGTAGCTTCACCTAGCTTTGACGGGGAAAAATCCACTGCTGACTGCGAAAATGGCCAAATCAGCAATTTACTTCCACCTGAAAACACCAGGTGATGCTGCTCTCTGTCCACATGAGGACTTTAATTAATCACCCGAGTGCTGGGGCATAATGGAGAGCTACAGGCCACTCAGGCGGTTTCAGGCCCAGCAGCATTTCAGAAGCTCCCCCAATTCCTACTTTTTTAATTTTACTTATCTGTCTGTCTGTGTGTCTCTGTCTCTGTGTGTGTGTGTGTGTGTGTGTGTGGGGGGGGGGGGGGGGGGCGGGGGGTTAGATATACATTACAGAACTTTCCAAAATTTCCCCACAATTTGATGGTAACCTGCTATTTTGCTGTTGTCTGGACCATTTTTCTGGTCCCCACAAGAGGAAATTCAATTTTATAAAAAATATGTGATTGCAATAAAAAAAAAACTAAAAAACAGGTCTTATATTTTGTTTGGTTACTTATGGTTAAGGTTAGGGCTGGGTAGGGGTTAAGGTTGTCATTGTTATGGTTTCGATTATGGTTTTGCTCATAGAAATGAATGGACAGTCCCCACCAAGATATGAATACAAACATGTGTGTGTGTGGGTTTGTGTTTTGTTAAACCTGTTACTTTTTAGCTTGTGGGCTTTCAGATCCCCAAGATATAACCCCCAGTTTTATATGGATCTGACTCGCCCACCACCCGATTGGTCCCTCTCTACAGGAGCAGGCCCTGGAGGTGCTGTCACGCTCCAGTCTGGAGGTGGAGCTCAGCGCCAAGGAACGCGAGGTGGTGCAGCTGGTGGAAGACGTGCAACGGCTGCAGGCCAGCCTGAACAAGCTGCGGGAGACCTCGGCCAACCAGATCACACAGCTGGAGCGGCAGCTCAGCGCCAAGAACTCCACCCTGAAGGTCAGGGCAGGGCACGGCTGTGCCGTGCCACATCCCCCGTCTCATTGGCCGGCACGCGTTTGGGGCCAGCCTCTCTATTGGGTGGCTCACAAGCAGCGGCCATGTAGCCAGACAGCTGCTCTCTCTGTGGTGTTTGCCTTTAGAATGACCCTGTTTCGCTGTTCTTGCTCAAGTTGAGTTTGCTGGCCCGTTTGAAACCTCTTCCCCCAGCTTATTTTTCTGACTGCTGTGTGCAGTGCAGGTTGATTTTCATATTGGCCCATCTTGGTTAGCTGGTCAGTTATCTACTTGCCAGATTGTGGTGGCCCCTTGACGGAGGATTGTGGTAACTGACGATGGAGCTGAGGATTGTGCACCACGTGGTGGATCCTCTTCAGCCCATTCGCATCCCTGTACTCTGAGGGTCACCGTCTGTTTGTGCCCCACAGCAACTGGAGGAGAAGCTGCAGGAGCAGGCGGATTATGAGGAACTGAAGAAGGAGCTGAAGTAAGTGATGGGACCACTGAGGTGGGGGCCACGCTAGCCTGCCCACCAGGGCCAGCCGGGCCGTCTGTTTCTGAGCCCTGTTGTGTTTGGGCCCCTAGTGTGTGTCTGCCCCCCCCCCGGCCTGGTTTAGAGACCCAACTTTCTGACACCACGCCAACCCTCGACTCCCACTGACCTTTGCTTGTCGCCTGGGTACCTACATTACCCCCCCACCTCCCTACCCCAGCTCCCTCTTCTTGTTGGCTGAACGGCAGTGTTGAGAGACTGCCATCATCCACACAACGAAGACCTTCCCCGTGTGAATCGGACGTGCCTCTGCTTCCGCTCGTGTTCACGTCTCCTTCCCCGCTCCATTCCGGGGTAGGGGCGCTCTCTGCAGAGGGGGGGGGGGGGCGTATGCTCCATTGGTAGGGTTTATGGCGGCTACCTTCCGTATTTCTTCTGTGCCGACAGCAGGAAAGTCAATACCGCCGTCGTCTTAGATTGTAAGTCTCCATTATTTTCGTGTTTTTCGTGGCAACAGGCTATTGACCCGTTTGTGTTGGCGGTCGGCGGTCTTGCCATTTTGTTGACTCCCAAATATGAAATGTAATTTCAGGTTTGCTTCCAAGCCCTACCGGCAAATGTCTGCAGTTCCCTGTCCACGAGCTAGTCCATTTTGGAGTGCAGAGTTATCGCCCTAACTTGTCTCTGTCTGTGGGATAAATGCAGAGGTTTATAAACTTAACTGACACCATAATCAGACTTTATTGTGCTTGTTTTCTACTGATCTGTTTGCTTCTTCAATCTGATAGCTGCGAGAATTACCACAAAGCGAAGCGTGTCATGATCCTCTGTAACTTGATTTACGCCATAATAATACTTTTTGAAACATTAAACCTTAATATCTCTGGAGCTTCTCTCCCAATTCTTCGTGGGGCTGTTGAAATGCTGTTATTTTCGGCTGTAAGTGTTTAATTTGTATTGATAGCTTGCTCCAGTGAAAACAATTCAGTGTAATGAGTCAAACTTTTTTCTATTCCTCTCAGCAGCTTTTGGTTAACACACTTCCTGTGTCGAAAGCTACAATAGGCATTCAGCTGGAGTAACAGGCTGCAGAATAACACTTTGATTTTACGTGCCTGATTTGTGTAATGTGAATGAGGTAGGGCTGGGCGATGATATATCGATATTATTTCACGCAGGCACAATAATTACCAGGGCTTCAGATGACAGGCAAAACATTTGGTGGGACACCAGTTTTTCATTACTATATGAACATTTATTTACACCCACAATTTCTTAAGCAGACTAAAATATTAATGAGATGCGTTTTGTGACACCCAAAAGTTAGTATGCTATGGTTTGGTATACTCCAGTGCAATATGCACTGTAGCGGAGCACACCACATAATACTGCTTTGGTATACTGTGGTTTGATATACTTCAGTGCGATATGCACTGTAGCGTAGCATACCACAATACTGCTTTGGTATACTTCAGTGTGACATGCACTGGAGTGGCTGTGAGGAAAGGAACAGCTCAGCAGCCACGACATCTTTTAAAAGAGGAGATCTTGTGGATAAACAAGGTTAAAAGATGATGTGGTGGGACACATTTATTAAACATAAGGATACGCCAAATTTATACTGATTACTAACTTTTGGGTGTGATAAAATGGCTCATTAATTTTATCCATACTACTGATCTGCTGAAGAAATTGTGGCCGTAAATAAACGTCCTTATAGTACCAAAAAGCTCTCATCCGGCCAAATGTTTCGTCTGTCATCTAAAGTACGGTGATTATTGCACATGCGCAATATAATATTGATATAAATGAGGCGTTGTTTTTCTGTTGTTAACATACTGATGCGCGTGAGGTTGAGCTTCGGTGGGTCGGGCTCTGTCTTTCTCAGTCTGCCGGGATCTAAAGTGTCTCTTCCTCCACAGCATCCTCAAGTCGATGGAGTTCGGGCCATCAGACAGCTCAGCAGCACAGGTAAGGCTGCAGGCAGGGTGGGGCATGGGGCTTTGGGCATTCGCCATGGTTAAATGAAGGATACGAGCTATCAGAGGTTTGTATCGAGGGTCTGGCTGCGTTCGGGTGGCGACGTTAATGTTGCTTCAACTCTGTGTCGCAGCTGCTGTATGTCAGCGAATAAGTTCACCGAAGAGTGAAGGTGTCAGTGTGGAGGCGTATGAGCAGTCACGCCGTGTTGAGCTCCCCTGAGCTTCTGTTGCTCATTTTCTCTCCCCAGGACTCCTCAAAGCCCTTGGAGGTGCTGCTGCAGGAGAAGAAGCGGAGCTTGCAGTCGGACAGCGCATCTCTGCGACTGGCCAACAGCGAGCCCAGCGGTGAGTCCCAGCTGTCTGTGACGGCAGGGGGGACCCTGTCCACTCGAACCCGAGCCGCCGCCTTCCTCGGATTCAGCGTTGGCGTCTCTGAGCCCTGCAAGGACCACGCCCACCGATCTGGGGGGGATGGGGGGCTCCCAGCCGACACACAGAAAAGCAGATTATAGCACCTGCATTGTGTTTCCAGTAATGTTTATATCACCGAGGTCTTAATCTTTGGAGACGGCTGTGTGAGCAGCTCTGTGTCAGGACTGGGGGGGGGGGGCTGACATATCTACCGGGATCAAAACGCAGGCTGCAGAGATAAGCTCCGGGATGTATATCTGCAGCTCTCACAAATATGCATTCTTTTCTCACGGGTAGCCCTCCCCCTCCCCACCCCTCAGTTATTTGGGGTAATATATCTCGTGCAGAACGGCAAGCTTGCGATCCCTTTGAAGGGGGGGAGGAGGGAAAAAAAAAGTTTTACTCAGAACAAAAGACGAGTGTGCTTGTAAAAGAGCTCGTCTGCAGGATTTCTGTTGGCACTTTTCTAAATTTGACAAGAAACACATCTTGCTCGAGACCTAAAATGGAAGTGAATGTGAAAGCAGTTGGCTTTAATCATTGCGGCTGAAGTGCTGCTTTCATGGCTGATTCTCTTCTGCTGGGCCGGCGATTGAACCAGAAATGGTGCCCCCCCCACATCAGAGGACATGCCAGGCTCCAACCCTCGTATTCCTGAACCGGTAGCATTTAAGCTACCTCCTGTGTGTGCGGCTTTTTATTTTTTTGTGTTTATCTGAAGACGGTTTTTTTGTTGGCTACTCTTGATGCCATTGTCTTGTGGGAGATGGAAAGGCCACTTTTTGTAGTTGTTTTATTTGTAACCTTTCAAAGCTGAGGCTTTTTTTCCAGCTGCTGTTATTATTGGGTTTGGGGCGGGGGGGGGCTTCTTCGTGCTGCTTTTTAAGGTCAGCCGGTGCCCTTCCCTGGGCTATGACCCGACCGGGCCTCAGACCAGCACCAAGCAGGCTGCCCCGGACAAAGGGAGGGCCCAGGGGCAGTGGGGGGGTAGTGGGGGGGACACGATATGGAAATGAAGCATCATGGCCGTCCCGCCCCCAGCACTCTCGGCTGCCCTTTATACAGTGCATGCTCTGTGGCTTTGAAATGTCATAGGAATACGCTGCAGGAAAAAAAAATGAATCCAGTAATTTGTATTTTAATGGGCCCAGTTTATCTGACCTTATCATGTACCAGCAAACTGAAGGTTATGGTAAGGTTTTTTTTTTTTTTTTTTTTTAAACACTAGTTTGGAGTTGTGTCCTACTTTGAGTATGTAAAATAGGAACGGGTTTAAGTAATGAATGACGATCACTTAGCACTCTTTGTCTGAAGGGTGTTTCTGCTGCGGTACGAGTGCGAGTTTGGCCTGGATCTGTACTTTTTACCTGACTATGGCGTATTCCTACAGCATCTAATGGCACCAAGCAGTTTTTACAAGCAAACACTGAAAATGGCTTTTACTGGATAGGTATAGTTTTTCAGAACACATTGGCAAAGTCCTTAGATAGTAGATGAACTCAAATCTGTTGTAGTAACCAAGCCATTTAATGGCATTAAGCTTAGCAGTACAGTGATATTTACATTCTCATTTTTATGACTCTGGCACAGACCCGAAAGAGGAGAGTCAAACCCATCCATGCATCTTCTAATTATTTATCAAGTAAATGGTTGCAGGAAGGAGAACTGTGAGCTAAAATAGTAACTGGGAGATCTACCAAAAGCCAATCAGGTGTAAGATCTCAGGAGATGAATGGACGACCTAAAGTCAGCCAAAGGCCCTCGCGGACTGTATGCCCGAGGGCCGTTCCCTCGCGGACTGTATGCCCGAGGGCCGTTCCCTCGCGGACTGTA